TCTTTCTTTCTCTCATTCTCCGGCAAACGTAGCTACCCCGCCTCCGTCAAACTTTCTCCGGCAAAGGTAGCCGAGTTATCACAGCCAGGTTTTCCTTCTTTCTTTCTCCTCGTCTCACCTCCACTCTTTCTTTCTCTCATTCTCCGGCAAACGTAGCTACCCGCCTCCGTCAAACTTTCTCCAGCAAAGGTAGCAAACCTCTCACTGCCACTCTTTCTTTCTCTCATTCTCCGGCAAACGTCGAGGTAGCCACCCTCTCACTGCCAGCCTTTCTTTTTTCTTTCCAAAGCACAGCTACCCTTACATCTGTATATGTCTGTAGTACCTACTCATTTCACTCAGCTTCTTTCTTTTTTTTACTATCATAGCTGTTAGTCCTTGTTTCACCTCTAGTCTTTCTTTCTTTCTTTCTCTCCAAGGCACAGCTACCCTTACGTCTGTAGTACCTCATTTCACTTCTTTCTTCCTTTGTTTGTTCCGTCATAGCTGTTAGTCTTTGTTTCACTGCTATTCTTTTTTTCTTTCTTCAGCAAAGTAACCACTGTCTTCGTTTCATTGCCATTCTTTTCTTCTTCCTATCAAAGGCACAGCTACTGTCACATTTATTACCTGCTCATTTCTTCCTTTTCTTTCAATTTTCTCGTTTCACAACCATTCTTTCTTTCCTTCATATTCTTGTTTCTTTCAACCTGTCAACTTTTTCTATGGCAGTCCTCATTTACTTCTTTTTCTGTTTCTTTTTTTCCCTAATTAGGATTGCCTTGCAATTTAGCTGGCTCTGAGTTCACAAAAAGAGTCATGTTTTCTGTCTCTTCAATATTCCGCAGTGTTGGTCACTAAGGCGTCAGAACTCTCCTTATTCTCTATAGTTTTATTTTAATGCAGGACTTTTACTTTTTACTCATTTCATTTTTTCATTGTTGTAAAACCTAATTGGAAAATCAAGGAAACAACCACTAATAATGCTGCAATGTCTTTTTTTCCAAGTTTTAATTCTTTTTCATCTTTTTCATACTGTCTTCATCCAAGCTTCTCTTAATTTCTCTCCATTCAGACTTAATTATTTTCTGCACCAGTTTTCCAACCGTTTTACCCTCCCTGTCCTTTCCCTAAACCTGATGTCTCCGTATGTTTTTCAAGACTCCTTTTCCACTGCAAGCACTTATCATTGGAAACTGTTATGTTATGTAGGCATGTTTATATATAATGTATAATAGATGTTACATGTATATATAAACTCCAGTAGAAGTAGATCCACTTTAATGTTTCTTGTGTTTTTCCATCTGATTTTGTTCCTTTGTATTTGTTGGAGTGCAGACGAGCCTTGTGGGTAGGTATGTTACAGAAGGTGATGTTTCATTGGTCGTGCAAAGTCACATGACATGGCGCTACCCAATCCCCTCGCTTACTGAGCAGGGCTGCCAATGGGGTATTTGAGGAAACCTGATAATTGAGAAAGGCTGCCAATGGGAGATTTGGTTAAACCTGAACAGGGCTGCCAATGGGGGATTTGGGGAAGCCTGATTACAGAGCAGGGCTGCCAAAGGGGGGTTTGGGAAAACCTGATAATGGAGCAGGGCTGCAAATGGGGGATTTGGGGAAACCTGATGACTGAGCAGGGCTGCCAATGGGGGATTTGGGGAAACCTGATGACTGAGCAGGGCTACCAATGGGGGATTTGGGGAAACCTGGTATCAACAGTCTGGGGATGGTGTTGTAAGATAAATAGAGCTTTCTTGAGCTTCAAAACCTTTTTTATAAATTTCCCCCAAATCTACAAGATTGGTCCATAAATTGGGTAATTTGAGATGAAACCTTAACAGAAGTTTTCAAGGTTGATATAAGATGAGAACAATGTGGTGCACAGGGTCAGTCCTACCTGCCTGCCTGTCAAATGCCAGGTGTGCAACTCAAATTGTTTTTCTTATTGATTATAGCATCAACATGTGGAAAACTACTTTGTTGGCAGCCCTGTAACCTCCCTGCAGTACTGCTTGTCCCTGCTAGGTGCCCCTATAGTACCCTCTGCCCTGCCAGTTGTCCCTGCAGTACTGTGTGCCCCTGCCAGGTGTCCCTGCAGTACAGTGCATAACTGTGTCCCTGCAGTACTGTGTGCCCCTGCCAGGTGTCCCTGCAGTACAGTGCATAACTGCCCCTGTGGTTGTCCCTGCAGTACCCTGTGCCCCTGCCAGGTGTCCCTGCAGTACCATGTTCCCCTGCCAGGTGTCCCTGCTGTACAGTGCATAACTGTGTCCCTGCAGTACCGTGATTCCCTGCCAGGTGTCCCTGCTGTACAGTGCATAACTGTGCCCCTGCAGTACCATGTTCCCCTGCCAGGTGTCCCTGCTGTACAGTGCATAACTGTGTCCCTGCAGTACCGTGATTCCCTGCCAGGTGTCCCTGCTGTACAGTGCATAACTGTGTCCCTGCAGTACCCTGTGCCCCTGCCAGGTGTCCCTGCTGTACAGTGCATAACTGTGTCCCTGTTGTTCTTGTTCATGCTTGCGTGTTGCTCGTGATGTGTACGTGTGGATAACAGAGCCTCCCCCCACCACTAGTAGTCAACGCTGACAATCTAGACCCTCGGATCGGTGTAAGTCCCTCCTCCAGACTTCACAACTCCTCAAGCTGTCTCATAAGGCTCCTTAGTTGCCATGGAAACCCTTAGTTGCCATGGAAACCCTTTGCTTCCTTGTCTTCCTTAGTTATGTTTTAGCCTCTCTTGTTGTCTGTGTTGCATGGTTGTTACTTAGGTTTGTGAAGAGGACTGAAAGTACAGAACGTTAGGAGAGCTTCCGTGATCACAGTTTCATATTTTGGCCATTCCTAGTACCATGTGTCTCATATACAACATGCATGTACATATAGCAGACCCTGTAAGCCTTTCCTTACAGCCAACTCTCCAAGCTTTATCCATAGCAAACTCTCCAAGCTTTAGCAAACTCTCCAAGCTTTAGCAAACTCTCTAAGCTTTTTCCTAGCAAACTCTTTCTCAAAGCTTTTCCCATGTGCAGCAAACCTACATCCAGCCTGTAACTTAAGTGAGGAAAGCTTGCCTTACAGCACCTGGCTTTACCCCCCCCCCAGGCAACTGCACCCCCCCTGCCTTAAGCTGCTTCCACCCCTGCTTCCACCCCCATTAGCTTGCTTCAACCCCCCCTCCCCATCTCTGCATTCAATTTGCCATCTCACAATGCTGCCGCTAATCTTTACTCACTGGTAACTTTCGTTGGTACAGTTTAGATTTGTTTTAAAGCTTTTTTGGTATTTTATGAGTTCCCTCATTTTATACGGGCCTCTTCTCTATATATTTTATTTTCTATTTTATTCACATGGATTTTTGAGCATTAGGTATATATCCTCCTCTAC